ATTCAGAGTCAAGTTCAGTCTCAAAAAAATTGTATTCCTCATCTTTGATTGGTGTAAACTGAAGTAGTCCCTTTTTTCTCTGCACAAGAGTATATCACTTCTTTGATAAACTGAAGAGGAGCACAGCGAATATTGGAACCTTTCGGGTTTACATTGTTTCATGGATTGGTGATGCCTTGGTTGACCTCCAAGGCAGCTAATCACATGAGTGCTATCAACGCATTTCTCGAATCGTTATGATGAAAATACATTATAATTTTTGTGGCCATCTTCCATAATGGCTCCGCATGCCATTGTTCTACCTGCAGACTTACTGGAACCAATTTTGACTATTTTTTGAGTTCCCGCGCATACAAAAGAATGACACCATTGATTGCACATTCCTTGACGAAATTGTATGATGGAAACTCTTTTCCATTCCAAGTGACATCATATTATAAGGCATTATATATAAGGAGATACTCTTTTCGTCCTGGCAGACTGTAAAGTTGATTGGTGATAGGAAGACCCTTGCCTGCGGGATCATTTTGACCAATATCCTCGGTTGAATTAATGTTGTGCGTCGCAATAACGCGAAATTTATGCCGAGCGTGTTCCAAATTTTTTGTGCAATTTACTACTGACTTGCAGGAAACCATGACCAGAAGGCTAGGAAGTCAAGACGAAATGAGTCAAACAAGCACACTAGCAACGGTGTCAACAATACGAGGAGGTGAGGATTCACAATACCAGTCGTTCGAATACCATCATGCTCGACAAACACGGGCAACTAGTGAACAACAAAGCCAGTCACTGGATGCCCAATGGTCGAGAACTAGAAGACTTCTTGAGACCCCAGAGCAGCGAGCAGTTCGCCATATGAATGATGCTGAAAGGTCGAGATCTAGAATAATACAAGAAAGCTCGGAGGAAAGAAGGACACGGCAGTCAAGCGATGCTGATAGAGCCAGGAACAGAAGAAGACAAGAAAGCTTGGAGGAGAGAGACGTCCGTCTGTCGCGAGGTGCCGAGAGAGCCAGGTTTGGAAGAGGGCATGAAAACCCGGAGCAGACGAGAGCTCGCCAGCTGAGCAATGCCGAAAGGGGTAGGAGTAGAAGGAGACAAGAAAGCTCGGAGGAAAGATTGCTCCGTCAGTCGCAAAATGCTGAGACAAGCAGAGCAAGAAGGGAGCGAGAAAGCTTCGGAAGAACGACGGAATCGTCTGCTGGAAGTTGCTGAAAGAGCCAGGGCTAGAAGAGAGAGAGAAGATTCGGAACAACGAAGAGCTCGCCTGTCGCAACAGGCTGCTCAAACCTGGGCGAGAACAACGCGAGGACGACTGCGAAGGACCGATTCAACAGTTGCTGCAGTGGAGGAAGTACCGGAAGCTGCACCTGAAGAACCACATGTGAATGCTAGAGTTGTTGCCGTTGGAATGAGAAGAGTTGCACGTTCGAGCGCTGACCCAGAGGAGCATTATGCTGGGCCTATGAGCGTGGAGTGCGGGAGTTGTAGAGCTCTACA